CTCAAGGCCAACCTGAACTACATAGTAAGAACCCTGTCTCAAAAAGACAATAAATAAATAAAAAATAAATACAGACACACACACACAAAAAGATCACTGGGCTAGGCTGGGCTGGGCAGGAGAGCAGCTCTCCAGGTGGCACAAGATGCTGTCAGCTTGCTGAGGGTACAGTGCCTCTCTGGAGCAGCCTGCCTGGCACCCTCGGCCCTGTGTTTTGTGCTCATCAGGAGACAGCAGCCTGGCTGGCTGGCTACTCCCCAGCATTGTGTCCACCCAGCCCTGAGGTCCTCAGCTGGGTGGGTCACTGCTTGCTGGACACTCCACTGGCTGCATCTCCCTGGCTGTAGTGCATTCTTCAGCCTGGAGGAATGTCCTGGGTGAGTCACTTGGTCACCTGCCTGTGGGGTGACAGTGTCGCCTCTGGGTTGAGAGCTGTGTTTTCCTAGGGGCACGGTACCCAGAGGACGCTAAAGTGTTTTGTAGATATCTCTGGAATTCTTGGGAAGAGAGCTGACAGCTAGCCGTGAGCAAAGGCATAACAGGTACCGGAAGTAGCCAGGTGCAGTGCACACATGTAATCTAGCACTCCAGGAGGCTGAGGCAGGAGGATGGAAAGCTTGAGCCCATCCTGGACAACTTAGTGACTTACCAAGATCTTGAGACCTTATCTAAAAGTAAAAGTAACAATGGGGCTGAGGATGTAACTCAGTGCAAAAGTTCTAGGTTCAATCCTCAGTACAACCCCCAGGCACCAAAAGATACCAAGATAGCAGTAGCTGCTCTTGGACCCTCCAGTGTGGAGAGAAGAGAACTCCGCACCCCTTGCCCCGTGGTGGCTCCCCGGCCTAGCCAAGTCACCTGCCCTCTCCAAGTGCCTTCCTCCCCGTGCAAAGGAGAAAGTCCTCACTGGTGTGTGTGTGAGCAGCTCCTGCCTCTCTACCTAAGGAAGAGGAGTCCCTCGGCCTCCTCTCCGTAGTTCTACACAACCCCGTTATAGGGTGGATTAAGTAATGAAAGGGAGACATTTCCAAAACGGGGTGAAAACTGGCTTTTCCTAGCAACCCACAGAGCTAGATGGAGAGACAGGTTTAAAAAGTCACTTATGTTCTGCTCAGAGTGTAAACAAAATGGCTCAAAAGCCAGGTTGCATCCAAGTCTAAAAACTAAAAATAGCCTTTCTTCCTCAAAGCCATACATGTAAGTTTGAGGAAATACAGAAGACCAGGAAGAAAACTTAATCACTCAGAGGAGCTCCGGGCCCTGCAGGTTGGTGGGTGGTTCATTTCAGTCTGGCTCCGGACTGGTGACAGAGGCAGTGGAGGGATCTTATTTACAGCTCTGTATTTAATGTTCTGTGGGTGTTGTCACCCCCAGCATGGGAAATCTTGGTCAGGAACCCCAGTGGATTCTTCCATGCTCAATATTGCATCACTGCCCTGGCATTTCCGGGACAGCTGGGGTCGCTTAACGGCACAACTACAATAGCAAGCTGAAGGAAACAGATTTTCCAGTTTCATATTTTAATAAGTGATGGCTCGAAAGATGGCGCAGGAGGCTGTGTCACACATGCCACTGTTAAAACCATAACAAGAAGAACTTCCAACGAGTGCATCACAACCCCACCTGGAGTGGAGGGAAGCAGAGGGCCACCCACTCTGAAGGTTGCCCTCGTGTGAATCTGCGTGGGCTTACTAGAGCTGGAGTGATCTCAAGACGGCGACCCATTTAAAGTGACATGAACTAGATACTAGCAGTTATTTGTAGTCAGTAGTCCCCTTGGCCACTCCTAAAGCTGACAGGCTTCTAATTATGCCTTTGGGATTTTTAGGAGTCTTCTCTCCCAGATGGTTCTGCTTGATGATAATTTCATCAGAAAGGGCTCCATCTTGGATCTCTGTTCTATTTTGATAGAGGCAAATTATCTCAAGAAAATTAGAATAAAAATATCCAAAATAGTCTGCTAGAATCTCTGAACCATTCCTCCTAGCTATGTCTGGGCCAAAATTAAACAATTATAGGGAATAAACAATATGTTTTCAGTCCCTATTTTGTCTTTGTCCCTATGATTTGCATGCATATAGGAAACCCGGCACACTTGGAGAGAAAATGACTTTCTGATTGAATCGTGTGATTTCAAACAAAGCTCTCTCATGAATAAAGAATATTAATTACTGTATCCAGAGTGAGTCTCCTCCCTGCCCCCTTTTTTTGAGTTGTGTGTTAATAGCAACATTTGTACATTTGGTACAAGGTCAGCATAGATTTAAAGGCAGACATAAGCTTTGAAAATTTATTCATGCTGGAATTGAGAACATGGAATTAATTAAGTGTACAGAAGCTGGAAGATAGACAGGTCGCTGCTTCTGCTTTTGTTCTTTGAAGTAGTTTATTCCTTTGGGAGGTCGGCATGTGGTGTCATGGCATGTGCGTTCTCCGTGGGGTGTATTAATACAGTGAGTAGCTGAAGAAGATAATAGATACAATATATGGCTGGACTTTGATTATAGGTAGTGTAAGGTCTGCAAAGTCTCGGGGTTTCTTTCAGTCAGAGATTCTTACCTGGACAGCTGTCGCCCAGTCCTTACATCATTTTCCTCCTGTTACCTTTGATCCTTCTTCTTGTTTCTCGTCGGTGTTAGCATGCCCACTCTCAGCTTCCAGAGTGGATGTTGATGGGTGTTACGGCTTGTTTAGGATGTCCCCCAAAGCCTCAGGCGGTCACAGGTGGTGCTTCTTCAGAGGTGGCTGGATCTAGAGTGTGTGACGCTGGGATTGATTCATGGTTAGGGTCAAGGGGGCCAGGATTAAGGGTGTGAGTGCCACCCGCCCTAAGTAGCATGGTTGAGCTATAAAGGGTAGAAAGAGCTGTGGTGGCTCCTTGTTGGCTTTTGCTGTCTTCCGCTCGCCATGAACTGTTTCCCCTCTGTGGTGCCACCAATCTACCTTAGAGCCAGCTAATGATGGACTGAAACTTGTGCAAACTGTGAGCTAAATAAACCCTTCCTCCTCTGACTTTGGGCGTCAGGCATTTTGTTTCAGCAAGCAGAATAGTAACTAAGACAATGGGATATCAGACCAGGGTGGAGTGCTTTCACCTGATCAGATAGGAGCGAGTGATTAAAGTGCTTCTGGGGCCAGGCGTGCAATCAGGTCCGGAGCAGAGCAGAGCGGAGCAGAGCAGAGCAGTCGCCTGGTGCTGCTCTGCAAGGCCCCTTGGAGCAGGAGTCTTTGTTTTGTGAGGAAATCATCTGTAGCGCCATGTATAGGTTTTTAACACGTTTCAAGGAGTATGATTTATTCATGCTTCAGTTTGTTCAGAGGAGTTCTGCCAGGTGGTCCCCACGGCTCCCCAGAGGTGCTGGCCTGGCTGCCGTGGGCAGGGCAGCTGTAGGGGCGGGAGCCCGGTTCTGAAGCCCAGGTTCACAGGAAAGGAAGCGGGGCTGGGTGCAGCACAGCCAGGCAGTGTCTGGAGCTTTGATGCCTCCACTAAGTGACTTGCGGGGCTGTCTGGTCTCCAAAGCAAGATGGTGTCCAGGGGAGATGGGTCACTGCACGCCTCTTCCTGCAAGGACACTGGGCCTGTCCTTCCCACGCCTGCAGCCCGCTTTCCCATGGCCTCCAGCACTGCGCCTGCTGCAGATCGCTAATGAGACGGAGCCTAGGTAGAGAATATTGCTTTCGTTTATCTTGGTGCCTTTACCACTGCCGAGGCAGACACCCCACTTTGAAA